ACAAAATATTGAAGACTACGAAGGCCTATATGTTTTGTAAGGAAAGTGTATGAAAGTATTTTAAGTCTTGACACCTCTTTGTGAATTAATTTATAAGGTTAGCTACTTTTTTCTAGAATGAAGTAAAAAAAGGTCAATGTTTTCCTAATCATCATAAATAATCATAAATGATGAAAACGGAGCATCTGATAATACATATGGACTTCTTACAATTACATAAAAACATGGCTACATATACTAACCATGATCACAAAGCATTTTGGAAAACTATTGATTAAAATCTAAATTAATTATGTGAATTAAGTTTAACTGATATTATTCACTCCAGGTCAATGGAATGGTTATTATATTTCCACATAGACACTAGATTATTAAAATCTCCTCATAGAAAAGAAAAACTGTAGACTAATCACATACATTTATATGCTAATAAATATAAAAGAAAATGTGAATTTAAAAATTACATCCAGGAATAATATCTCCCAACATCTTTTGCATGTTGAGGATGGGTGATAATAATTAACCGAGACATGCTTACTTACCTGATGTTTAATGATTCTTTTGCAATCCAATTTTTTATTTAAGCTGTTGGGCAGAAGAAAGAAGTCACCAAGTAGTAAAGGAGGTGGGAAGCATATAAGTTAAAAGAAATTTGGAAAATTATTTGTGCAGAGACAACAGAATATCTCTTCTGTGTCTGTTGTTTTAAATAAAAAGAAAAGAAAGTGGGACAGACTAAAGCTTCTAATTTCACTTATTGCAAAGGCAGGTTAACATAAGAGGTACCTTCTTATCATGTTTAAAATTCTGGAGCTCCTTTAGACAATGGCTGCGAAGAATTCACCTTCCAGCTGAGTTAATCTTGACTGCCAAACTCGGGTTACAATAGCAGCCAGTGCTATTGTATACCTTTCCATTGGCAGTAAATGCTTTGGCTTAAATGACCCTGAGCTTAGCAAAGACCTGAACAAGGCAGTGTCACCTCCCTTTACACGTATCTTTTATCCCTTAGCTCTTATCTTGTAGAAAAAAAAAAGTCAAGGAAATGAATTTTCAGTAAAATTGAGCTAATTCTCTTGGCATGGTCCCCAGCCTTTCTACTCACATCATGGAAATGCAAAGGAACATTGCCAAGAAAAGGGACAGAAAAGCAAATGGAGGATATTACGAACTACAAGAGCTGAAAGCATTATCACCCTTTTTTAGAAATGACTGTTTCTGTTAGATTTAATTATTTCCCCCAGCAGTAAAGGTGTTGGTGGCTGAATGGAGTGGCTTCTAAATAAAACCAGAGTGCTTATTCAATCTGATCTGGGGATGCTGAGGAAGAATCATCTAGGCTAGTGGGATCAGGGGTGCCACCAGGATGAAGAAGCCATTTCTCAAAGGACTCATTTAAACACATTTCAAAATTAATCCTTGTTGCGTGCATGAGACACTTTCAGTCATTGACCTGGCAAGGCACCCTGAAATCTGGCATGGTTCTCTCAGAGAGGACAAGGGTCAGGGCATCCAGTTGAGCTACTTCTTCCATCAGCAACATCAGTCACATGCTCTGAGAGCCTCCTTCCCAATGACCGGGCAGGCAGAAGGCTACGTGAGGGAAACTCACTAAGACAAGGTTTGAACATGCCCCTAACTCAAGGGTTACAGGAGTTTTCAAAGAACTAATCTCACCTGGAATGAAACTTTACCTCCTTGCAAGTCTTTTTCAAAGGTGACTCTTTATGAAGCCTGCCCTGATGACATTATTTAAAATTGCATCTCATTCTTCCACTCTTGATTTTTTTACTCATGCACGAGAATGTGAGGAACATCACAGAATGTCTTTGTGCTAAGGAAAGAGGGAGACGGGAGCAACACGCTTTGAGCGCTATCAAATCCCTATTAGTTTAGAGGACATGGTTGCCGTGAATGTAGGACAGGTTTTATAGGTTAGCTCTCCCTTGTCCTTATGGGTTATTCTTGGGTTCCAGGGCTGTGGTAAGATATTGGAGTCCACATGTCAGTGCCCTGGACCCTACTGAGAGTGGAGGAGAGGCATGTCCTCTGTTACTACATTTCTTCTCCCACAGACCCAGGGACAGGTTGCTTCACTTGGAGACTCTGGGGAGTTGGGCATGGCAGGGCCCGAGAGAGGACAGTGGCTCCTGGCTGATGCAGCACTTTAGTGCCAGGGTGACAGGAGAGAGACAGAGGGTGCCTGCTACATAGCCAGCCAGAACTGCCTGCGAGTCCTCGGAAGCTGGCCTCTGGGAAACCGCCTGACTCTTTGAGGGATCTGTGGGACTCTGGGCCAGCAGGTGAGGGTCAGACTGGGGAAACAGATGATTTTTCTGTTGTCTCAGATTCAATTTACACAGCACTTGTCAAGTACCATTCCAAAGAGAAACATGAAAGGAAACACTGCCCCAAAAAGCATTTGTTCTGTACTAATCAGGGGGCAGAGCCCCCTGAGGGCCTTTCAATAAACAACCTCTGGGAACTCACAGGAGCTTGGGTATTTAAAGCTACAGGATGAATTGGAGGCATCGGAGTACAAATGAGCATTAAATGTACAATGAATATGTCTGGGCAACTGTTTGTGCAGCAAGAATAAAGAGCATCTATTTTCTATTGCTCCCATTTGTAATACCTTTGAACAAAGATATATAATGTGTTTCAACCCTCTCTTGACACACAGCTCTAATTTGTAAGAAAAAGAGGGGAAGGTTGTGGTCACTAAACTTATATGGTAAACATTTTGGGATATATATGTGTATCAAATCATCACATTGTATACTTTAAACTTGCTCAGTGTTATATGTCAATTATATCTCAATAAGCCTGGGAAAAAAAGAAAAGCTATGAGTGAGGAGACATTAACTAAAACTAGCAAGCCTTTCTCATGAACACAGTTTGGGGCTGGGGCACACAGAGGAAACAGACCAGAATAGAAACAGTTGCAAGTGTCTGATTAGGATATGATATAAGTGCCATCTCAAATCACTGAAGCAAATGTGGGCTTTTAAATAAATGATGCTGAGATGTCTGGTGAGACATTTGGAAAAATAAAATTAGACTAACATTTTATACCATACCAAAGACATAAATTCCAAATGTATCAGGAATCTAAATGTAAACAAAAGAAAAAAGAAAAAGAAAAAGAGGTTAGCAGCTGACTAAGAAATACGATTTGAATAGTAAAAAATACAGACTTCCTAATCATCATTTGCTATTGTGAAATTTCCATCTTTTTAACTTATTCATTTGGATACAAAATATTGAAAACTACGAAGGCCTATATGTTTTGTAAGGAAAGTGTATGAAAGTATTTTAAGTCTTGACACCTCTTTGTGAATTAATTTATAAGGTTAGCTACTCTTTTCTAGAATGAAGTAAAAAAAGGTCAATGTGTTTTCCTAATCATCATAAATAATCATAAATGATGAAAACGGAGCATCTGATAATACATATGGACTTCTTACAATTACATAAAAACATGGCTACATATACTAACCATGATCACAAAGCATTTTGGAAAACTATTGATTAAAATCTAAATTAATTATGTGAATTAAGTTTAACTGATATTATTCACTCCAGGTCAATGGAATGGTTATTATATTTCCACATAGACACTAGATTATTAAAATCTCCTCATAGAAAAGAAAAACTGTAGACTAATCGCATACATTTATATACTAATAAATATAAAAGAAAATGTGAATTTAAAAATTACATCCAGGAATAATATCTCCCAACATCTTTTGCATGTTGAGGATGGGTGATAATAATTAACCGAGACATGCTTACTTACCTGATGTTTAATGATTCTTTTGCAATCCAATTTTTTATTTAAGCTGTTGGGCAGAAGAAAGAAGTCACCAAGTAGTAAAGGAGGTGGGAAGCATATAAGTTAAAAGAAATTTGGAAAATTATTTGTGCAGAGACAACAGAATATCTCTTCTGTGTCTGTTGTTTTAAATAAAAAGAAAAGAAAGTGGGACAGACTAAAGCTTCTAATTTCACTTATTGCAAAGGCAGGTTAACATAAGAGGTACCTTCTTATCATGTTTAAAATTCTGGAGCTCCTTTAGACAATGGCTGCGAAGAATTCACCTTCCAGCTGAGTTAATCTTGACTGCCAAACTCGGGTTACAATAGCAGCCAGTGCTATTGTATACCTTTCCATTGGCAGTAAATGCTTTGGCTTAAATGACCCTGAGCTTAGCAAAGACCTGAACAAGGCAGTGTCACCTCCCTTTACACGTATCTTTTATCCCTTAGCTCTTATCTTGTAGAAAAAAAAAAGTCAAGGAAATGAATTTTCAGTAAAATTGAGCTAATTCTCTTGGCATGGTCCCCAGCCTTTCTACCCACATCATGGAAATGCAAAGGAACATTGCCAAGAAAAGGGACAGAGAAGCAAATGGAGGATATTACGAACTACAAGAGCTGAAAGCATTATCACCCTTTTTTAGAAATGACTGTTTCTGTTAGATTTAATTATTTCCCCCAGCAGTAAAGGTGTTGGTGGCTGAATGGAGTGGCTTCTAAATAAAACCAGAGTGCTTATTCAATCTGATCTGGGGATGCTGAGGAAGAATCATCTAGGCTAGTGGGATCAGGGGTGCCACCAGGATGAAGAAGCCATTTCTCAAAGGACTCATTTAAACACATTTCAAAATTAATCCTTGTTGCGTGCATGAGACACTTTCAGTCATTGACCTGGCAAGGCACCCTGAAATCTGGCATGGTTCTCTCAGAGAGGACAAGGGTCAGGGCATCCAGTTGAGCTACTTCTTCCATCAGCAACATCAGTCACATGCTCTGAGAGCCTCCTTCCCAATGACCGGGCAGGCAGAAGGCTACGTGAGGGAAACTCACTAAGACAAGGTTTGAACATGCCCCTAACTCAAGGGTTACAGGAGTTTTCAAAGAACTGATCTCACCTGGAATGAAACTTTACCTCCTTGCAAGTCTTTTTCAAAGGTGACTCTTTATGAAGCCTGCCCTGATGACATTATTTAAAATTGCATCTCATTCTTCCACTCTTGATTTTTTTACTTGCTCTATTTTTGTATTTCAGTGTACAAATCGTACTTGTGCAGGTTGGTGAACTCTTCCTTATGTATACCATCACCTAGCCACCACCCAGATCGAGACATAATAGAACTTTTACAGCTCCCCTCGGGGGTCCCCTCCAGCCAGTCTTGTTTCATTTTTTCAAAGCATTTGTTGCCTTTTAAGATCCAATTTGCCTAATTGGTACACTAATGTATCCAAACAACTAGAAGAGTGTCTAGCACATAGTAGGCACTCAATAAACATTTGTTGAATGAATGAATCTTTGAAGCAATAGCCAGTGTGTCTCCTTGTCCACACCTTACCCCCCGGCCCACTTCACTCCACCCCATGTGGTCTGTAAGAGAAGCAACCTAGCTTGAGGTCTTCAGTGTCTACACAAGGGTGTTAAATGTAGCCGCAGGAATGGTATTTATCAGATCTGGCTGTGGGTGTGGATTGGCTGCGTCTTACTGTAGTCTCTCTTCTGTGCAATGTTTTCTTGGACAGATTGAGCATTGTGGAGGATCTGCAAGAAGGAAAAGATCCCTCCTTTAGTCTAGAGTCATCTCTTGATTCCTAGGTTTACTAGCATTTGCTCTGGCAGGGCCATGCCCTCAGCGGTCTCTCTCCTTCTGACTCTGCTGTTCCTGCTAATGCCCGTTTGGAGAATGTGGCCATCTCCTGAGCTTCTGGATGCCAGGCAGTTGCAGGTTCTGGCTATCTGCACCCTGACCATCTCTTCAGTGGAGACCCTACAAGCTCCTCCTCCTTCTCATTTCCGCTGGCTACTCCTTCAGGCTCACCTATGCTGCTGTACTAACCTCTGAAGTGACAGCCCCCCATCTTCAGCCTTTTCTTCCAAACTACCCCCATTACTTTCCCTAAAATACAACCTCTATCATGTCACTGCTGTGATAAAAAACTTGCAATGGTTGGCAGACACTGCCAAGGGCAAGTCCGAACTCTTTAGCCTGCCTGCATTAGGGAGCTTCCAGGCCCTAGTTCCCTCATGGCCTGATGTATTACCACTGCACTGCCAGGGGACAGGTCCATGCCACTGTCACTAAACAGGCTCTGTGTTGTCTAACCTCAGTACCTTTTCTCTGTTGGGTTCCAAAAATTAGCACTGGAAGGAGCCATTTGAGAGGATCTGGCCCACCCTCATTTTGCAGATGCAGAAACTGTGGCCCAGAGAGATTAATTGACTAATCAGCACCACCTAGTCAAAGATCAAGTGTGACTAATGAAAAAAAAAAAAAAACCCCACAGAAACACAAAAAAACCCAGGGCAGTCTAGGTTTTAACAATGTCAGGTGACTCATATATCTGAAGACCAAATCAGTGGGCCAGTCTTTGAGTCCCCTCTCTGCACAACTCCGATCCCTGAAAGTGTGCATCTTTGGGTCCTACCACGGGCATGGCCTCCCCAGTGAAGTCTCCCTTCAGTCCCCAGTTAGGAGTCTGAACTCTCAGGCCGATGACCTGAGTCTCTGATCTGCAGGTAACTAGATATTTATCTACCAATATATCCCTTCTATTACATTTTAAGCCAACTCTGACTCATCTTTGACTTTCCTCTATTATTATCCCAGCGACTTGTCCATATTGAGCAGTAAAATTCTGTAGAGGGGAGAGTTTTCGGCACAAGGAGTGTAATGTATACACATGCGGGGGAAGCGCAGTTCACACGCCCGGGGCACACACAGCTCACAACTGTGCACGCGAGTCCAGAACCTCCCACTACACCTCGCATTCAAAGGCCGCACCTGGGCTCCTTTTGAACCCAAACCCGTAAAGGTAAGGAGGGCAGGTGTCCACAGAAAGCGTGTTTGCTGCAGTTACAGAATGAGTTTCTCAACGTCTTTCGGGGCCGCCTCTTAACCACGCTCAGCGCGGTGAACCGCGACGCAAATTCGGTGGCAGGTTCCGGAACGTGACTTGGCGTCGAGATGGCACAGCTTCTCCTTACCGAGGGAGCTCAGGTCCCAGGCCAGCAGTGCCCCGCCAGCTTTCCAGGCCGTCGCGGTCACCGACCCCGGGCAGCGGCCAGGCCAGCCGAGTGCGGCGGGAGAGTGACGCGCGCTTGGGGGTGCGGCGAGGCGAGCACGCCCCGGGGGCGCCGAGAGGGTCCGCGGCTGCCGGGTCACCGGTCGGGCGAGGAGGGGAGCGCTCGGGGCACGGCGCGGTGCCCGCCTGCTGCCTGGGCCCACGGCGGACGCGGGGCTGGTGCTGGGCCGCGCCTCCGCTCTCCACCCCCGGGAGGGAACGAGGGAGGGCAGACGGCCGGACCCGCCCCCAGCCCCAGCCCCAGCCCCAACCGCGCGCGGCGGCCGCGGCGGCCGGAGGGTGACGGCGGGCACCACCCCGGAGCGGAGAAACCAGTTTGGCCGGTCCCGGGGAGCGGAGGGAAAAGGGCGGCAGCAGAGGACGGGCGCGGACGCGGGCGGGGGTAGGCGGGGAGCCATTGGCGAGCCGCGAGAGCCGGGGGAGCCGCCGCCGACCGGACACGCTTCCCGGGGCCGCGGGCCAGTCCCCGTGCGCCATGAAGCGCTAGCGCGGCGGCCAGCGCCGAGGCCGGGCGGCGGCCAGGTGCTCAGCGGGCGCGCGGAGAGGCGCGCACCCGGCGGATGTCCCAGCCGGGGCCCACGAGCGCCAGGTAAGGAGGGACCGGGCGCCCGGAACCCCCGGCCCGCCGCACCCGGCCCGCCTCCGCCCTGCGGCGGGCAGACCCCGGGGGTCCGGGATGCGGTGACAGCGGCTGTCCGCGTCCTCGGGCTCCTGAGTTCGTACGGATGGGATCTGGGTGAGGGTGCCTGGAGCCTCCGAGGCCTCGGGGATGGGAAGGCACAGCTGGCTGGGCAGGCAGCGCAGTGGAGAGGTCCGTGGGGTTTTCATCTGCCGGCGAGAGACGGAACTCGCGGGAGGAGTTTTAGGTTCTTGGTTGGATCGCTACGCGCACTGACGTTAAGCTCCGGGGGTCAAGCCTGGCGGGGCTGCGGGTCCGTGAGGACTATCGCTGGCGTCCCTGCAGTGTCTGCCGGGCTTCTGGAAGTCTTCCGTGGCGGGGATCTGCCGTTGTTCCCTCTGGGAGCCGATGCCACCGCGCCCGAAAAAGACCTTAGGACCAAGTGTATCTGGGCGCACCCGCGGGAGGGATGGAGGGTGAGATCGTCGGGGCCGTGCCTGCTGCAGGACCGGGCACCCTCCAGACATCTTCCGTGAGCAGGTTGAGAGGTGATGGGGAATAGGGCCACTGCTTTCCCGGTGATTGTAGCATCGTATCTGCCAGCTCCCATGGCACCGTCACAGGCCATCAGCTTCCCTACCCAGTTTAATGCCCAGCGCTGTCCGCCCTGTGTGCGTGCAGAGGGGCAACTTGTTGGGAGGGGGAGTTACAGAGAATGGCGAGTGTTTTCACCACTACTCCCCAAGTGAAAGAAAAGCCTTGAATTCTCCGCCCAATTTCTCAGAGGGAGTGTGGGCGCCTGATCCCTGAGAGGGAAGGGTGCACGCAGATCCACCACAGTTGTAGGAAGACAAGGGTACAGAGGGGATGCGGACCTGAGGGATGAAAGGGGGTGACACACAAATTAGGGGAACCTGGACCACATTTACGCCCCATAAGTGCCGGGCATCCCTACCAGATCATTTCGGCCTGCCCACTGTGTCCCTGGAGCGCTCCGGACAGCGCCAAGCTCGCCTCCCAGAAACTGCCCTCCCGGTTGGGTTGAGAAAAGATTCTGTCTTGTCTTCTGGTTGCATTGCCTTAATACTTCTGACTCCGCTCCTGGAGAATTACATGAGACAACACAGGTGAAGTGTTTGAAGATCACCTGGCACACAATAGGTTATGGAAAGAGGTTAACTGCTTTTAGAAGCAAAAACTAAAAATGATGTGTTAGTCTCTAGCGACAGTAAATACAAGCACGTGTAAAATGAAGAAACAACACAAAATGTGAAGTAAAGTTCTAGTTTTCACTGTCTCAGGAGTACTTTTGTGTTAGACCTAAAATGCCATTCATGAATTCTGGGCCTGTTGTTGAAGTTCTTATTAAAACCTATCAGAAATGCATATACTGTGCAAAAGAAGATTAATGGTTATTAGCTGACTACTTTCCGGTGGTGGAGGCTGCCTGCCTGTAATTACTCCTCTGAATTCTCTTAATGGTTTTATGTAGTAGAGGCTTCCTTGTTCTAATTTTAGGTAGGAAACCTTAACTGCTTTTCTTCATTTGCCATTTTCTAGTGGCTGGCTTGGGTGACTTGGGGATTCTGTGTGTTATTGAAGGACAAACAAGACTCACGCTGATTAGCAGTAAATGCACACGCCTTGTGTGAGAGCAGCTCTGGCAAGGAAAATGCATACCAGTATGCACTTATTACTTGATAGTGATAGGACTGGGAGGGTTTTTGTTTGTTTTAAATCAAGGCTTTAAAGTAATGACTTAGTAAAGCAAATGACTTAGCAGAAAGTCTGTAGGTATAAGGCAAGTTCAGGACTGGTTCCATGTTTCACCTAGATTTCAGTCTCTTGGGGGTCTTAGCAGTAATGGCACTGATCAGAGATGGCTGGAAAATGTTTCCTTCCCTGCCTGCCTGCTTTTCTTGCCTTTATTCTCTCTCTCTCCCTTTTAAAGCAAAGAGTAGTGGGAAACATACAAATTTAGATTCCCAGATTTCAGTTCTCTTACTTTAAATTACATATGATTTTTACAATTAATTTTTATTCTACTTACTAACTTTTAAAGTAAGTTGTACAAGCTAGATGACTTCCTAAATTTTCTGAACCTCAGTTTACTCATTTGCTGGGAAAAAGATGTTAGCAACCTCCCTGAGTTAAGAGAATTACATGAACAGGTGAATATCCCTTAATCCATAGTCGGTGTTTGAATACCGTTTTCTTATTTTCTTTATTTACCTGATTAAAAAAAAAAGTTAATGTGATGCCCAGAAACTTGGGGTAGTTTTAAATATTTTATTGCCTTACTAGTTTTAATTCCATTTTGATTTTCCACAAGCAACATTCATGGCATCCTGGTGACCCTTATAACCCACTCTAGAGAGACTTGAATCTACTACGTTTGCTCTTTAGTTCCAATCATTGTAAAAGAAGCCTGTGCTCTTATGAATGTAGAGGAACTTGCTTTTTAGGTATTAGAACAAGTTTTGTGGGGTCCGTTCATGGTCTGTATCTCTAAAGGGAGGTGCCTTTCAAGTTTCTTAAGCACTGAATTTTAGAATTTCTTCTCTATTAAACTCCTTTGAAGTGTTTGTTTGTGGTGCCTTTAGGTATCTTAGGAGTTTTCCTGTGTTTGTTGACATCATTCAATTAGATTAATTGTATTCATAACACTGTAGGTGTTTTGCTACTTATTAAGATAAGTAATAATTAATTTCCTGCCAGAAGAGTTTTAATAGCACAAAAAGAAGATAGCTTATCCTTTTTTATTCTGTTAACCAAGTTACTCCTCACTCCCTATCTCTGTGCCCAGCTACAAATAGTAATAATAGCCAGTCTAAGATATTTGGAGGTCTGTGTCACTGAAGACCTTGGCATTATGGAGGAAGAGTCTAGAAAACATATATGTATATAGAAAACAATCTTATTTCTCATTTTTGTTCTTAGAAAACAAAGGCATTTTTATCATCTGATTATTTAGGAACACATTAGTACTTTTACTAATACTTCTAAATGCACTATATTTTTAAATAAATTGTTGCCAAACCATGCTCAATAGGAAATATGGTTGATAACTGGTCCCAGCAACACTGGGCCCAGAGGCAGCAGTAAAATAGAGGTTGGTAGCACCTGCTTTGGAGTCCTTTGACCTAGCTTGGAATATAGGCCTCACTGCTTCCTAGCTCTGTAACCTAGGACAGGTCACTAAATCCCTTTAAGCTTCAGTTTTCTTTTCTGTAAAATGGAATAGTATTAGTACTAGTAACCTCACAAGGCTCTGTCCTGAGTTGTAAATAAGAGAATATAGCTAAAAGGAATCAGCACAGAGCTCAATAAAAAGTAGTCATTAACAATACTGTTGTTGGTATCACTCAATAAATATTTGTCGGTCATCTAGCAATTGCTTTCTCCTAGAATATGGAGGAAACAGAATCGCTGTGTGTGTTAGTGTTTATTTAGCAAACATAGGTGCCTACATGCACCAGGCACTGGCAGAAAAGTTCCCTAGAGTGGGGGTGAGGTTCTTAACCTCCAAATCCAGGGCTTGAGGTCTGGAGCACAGGCATCCAGGAAGGACCAGGGTGCTCAGTGGCCTAGGGACCCTGGCCGCTCCAACTTGGGTGCCCTCTCCTCCTGCACAGTGGAGACCCTTGGGACATACTGAGTGCTGCTCTGTCTCCCAGATACCTTTCTTTCGATAGCCCCACCTCTACTCCTGTTTTATTTTAAAAGATTACCCTTCCCTGTTTAAAACTCAGGCATTCTTGGGCCTTGAGTCTTTAAAGCATCAGTGCTCCCCATGTGGTTTTTTTTAGTTGTGGTGCCTGGTAAATGATGCTAATGACAGTGACCTTGGTGCAATCCCATTCATCCATTCATTTTTAAAATGGCCTGAGCATCCTCTCCAGGCACTGCGCTGGGTTCCCTGCCTGCGTCTTGGAGCCTGTGACTGCCTGGGGCCTGAGTTGTGGTGTTGATTCTTTTTCTTCTTCTGCTTCTTTGGTGAGAAAGTAGATCAGTTGTTCTCTCTCTCTCTGCTCTGGATGTTGTCCCTCTCTGCATGGAGACAGGGCGGCCTTAGACCCTGGAGGCTGGACCAGGCCACCTGCAGGTCTGCAGCTCTCTGTTCCTTGTCAGGCCCCAAGTCTAGTACATTTGCATTTAATAAGGAAGAGCTGGACCTGGAAGCAGCGGAGGGGCTGTGGTGCCAGCACTCATGGAAAGGCCCTGGCTCCTGGTGTGCATTTATCACCCTTCCCCTGGGGCAGTTCCGTGGCGATGGCCACCTCCCGCTGCAGTCCCCAGGGAGCCTGGCGCTTCTGCACTGAGTGCCTGTGTAGCCTGACCTTTGGCTTGCGCTTTGGTCTTTATTTACAGGGCTGTCGTTTATGGCTTTGTCTCTTTGCTGAGTGGCTTTTGTTCCACCACAGTTGAGGTTTGTTTGGTTTAGAGCAGGCTGTGTTTGAAATCAGTTTTCTAACCTTTAAATGGAGTTGAGCTGGCATATGCTCATTGGAACTCCTCAGGCACCACGCATTATCCTCACAGTCTCTGGCTGTCCATTCTTGCTGTTTGGAAAAACTCTCATGGTTGGATGTATGACTGTTTTTATTGAGTATGATGTGACTTGTCTACAACTCCTCGTTCTGTCTTCTTGGGCGATGCAGTAACCTACTTAGGCCATTCTATGAGACCCACAGATGAACTGTGGATCCAGAACATTCTCTGTAAGAAAGTAGATAACGATTTGATTTGTGTGGTTTAATACTGACATGGGCAGATGTTGTACATTTCATGCTGGGAAATATTGGCGCTACTCTCATATTGGAAATAATTGTGTGGGCGTTGAAGCCAGGCCCTAGCAAATGCTATATAAGCCCCCAGAATTTATG